TTCCTTTTTTTAAATGAGTTATTTCGCTTAAACCCTAAATATTTTTTTAGATTAATATTTAATATTTTAGTATTAACTATTAAATAATTAAATAGTTTGTCATTATTAAGTCTTAAAAATTAATAAATAATAAATAATTTTTTTAAAAAAATAAAATAAAAACACGGATGTCTAGACGCTAGACATCCCGGCACATAGAACGCCAATCATTTTTTTCAACCATAAGAATTTATCATGCGCATTATAAATTGGAATAAGGTTCAAATTAGCCACTGAACGTAACCTGAAAATGCATTTAGGCCACTAAACGAAAAAAAAAAAAAAATACAATTAGGCCACTGAACTAAAAAAAAAAAAAAAAAGTACAATTAGTCCAATGAGCACTCCAAAAACATACAATTAGGCCACTAAATACTCTAAATGTATGCAATTTCAACAGATAGCATGTTACCATCAATTTTAGCAAGTTACCTACTTACGTGGCAGCTGAGTTGGAATTTTTAATAATTTTTAACAATAATTTTTTAAAAATTAAAAAAAATTAAATAAAATAATAAAATAATAAAATAAAACGATGGAGTGGCCGGCGGCCACCCCGTCTTTTTTTTTTTTTTTTCAATTTATTATTAAAATTTATTAAAAATTATTTAAAATGCCAATTCAGCTGCCATGTAAGCAGATAACTTGCTAAAATTGATGGTAACCTGCTATTAGGTGAAATTACATAGATTTGGAATATTCAGTGGTCTAATTACATTTTTTTTTCGTTCAGTGGCTAATTATATTTTCAGGTGACGTTCAGTGGTCATTTTGAACCTTATTCCTTATAAATTTTATTCAGATAATGTACATGCTACGTACGGAGTACTATTTAGGGTTGGTATATCATGCACCATGGTGCATGATCAATCATGCACCGCGCGTCTAGACATTACAGTGTGTCTAAACCGACACTGTCTCACGTATTATGTTTATATTATCAAATGAAACTACAGTTATATTAAAATGATACTGTAGTTGTAGAGAAATGAAACTACAGTATATATAAAATGAAACTAAATGACATTTCACATATTTGAGTGTATATTGTACAATGAAGCTGTAATTATATTGAAATAATCATGTAGTTGTGTTTTAATGAAATTATAGTGTATATAAAATAGCCAGTAACATTCAAAAAAATAGTGTATATAAAATAAATTAAATAACATTTTCACATATTTGAGTGTATAAATATTGAATGAAACTGTAGTTATATCGAAATAAAACTGTAGTTATGTTGAACTGAAACTGCAGTGTATACAAAATGAAATTGAAGAACAAAATTATTTTTTGCTAAGATTCTATTTCTTTTCGTTAAATAAAACGACGCCATTTTAACAGTGTCAATTTAGACACACTGTAATGTATAACGCGTGGTTCATAGTTGATTATACAACACGGTGCACGATATAATTTGCCTACTATTTATAATTCGGCTCAGAGAGCCCCATGAAGTACATTTTTTCCTGGGCCATTGAAGCCCAATTGGGTATCTTAATAAGTCAAAGCCTGCTTTTAAGTCAACATAGTGTAATTTCTAAACTTATCTAAAGCCCAGACTTAGGACAACGTCTTTTTGTTCATGAGGCCCCACTGTATTGTTTGAATTCTTTGGATTTTGAAGAAAATGTTTGTCACAAAAGTGAAAGAATTATTGGATGAAAACTCTTTGATGATTTTTTGTTTTTTTTTTTTTTTTTGTTTTTGCAATTGCTGAGTCTTTGAAACTTGTTAAAACTTTTTCAGAAATGTCTTTTTAATTTTTTATTTTTTTATTTATTATTATCTCCTAATTAATTAAAAGTAGGGAAAACGGCACTTTTGGCCCCTCAATTATTTTACTTTTGAAAATTTAGTCCCTGTCAATTAATTTAAACAAATCTAACCCTTTAATTATTCATAATGTGGCACATTTAGTCCCTGATGTTATATAATGAGAATTCTTTTAATAATTTGTTTTTCATGAAATTATAATTGTCCAAACCTTTCAACCATTGAACTTTCTTCTCCTTCTTCTTTAACGTATGCGTGGAAGGTAACTCACTGTTTCTCAAACAAATATATATATTTAATCGTCCAATGCATACTCTACCTTATAAATCGTCGAATGCATACAGAAAATGACAATAATTTTACTGGATAAAGTTAATTCTTGAAAGTTTTATACCAAGTTTTGAGCATGCGCCTTTGCTCATCCACAGATAATGAAACTTCAGCACCTTTAATTTCTCAAGCTTCAAATTTGATACCCCACCTCCAGAATTTTCAAAAAATCCATTGTGAAAAACTTGCCATCACCATAAAATTTCATGTAGAAGCAAATATCAGCTACTCCGCGAAGATGAAGGAGAAGAAAGTTAAATGGTTGAAAGGATTAGACAATTATAATCTCATGAAAATAAATTATTAAAAAAAATTATAATTATATAATATGAGGGACTAAATGTGTCACATTATGAACAATTAAAAGCTTAAGTTTATTCAAATTAATTGACAGGGACTAAATTTCCAAAAGTAAAACAATTGAGGAGCCAAAAGTGTCGTTTTCCCTTAAAAGTATTTGAAAAAGTTTTGGACCGTTCTCTAATTAATCAAAAATTTACGAACTCATTCCCTAAATTAGAAACGAGCTTTCGGTCCAAATTATTAAAACATTTTCCAGCCCAAGTTAGAAAATTTAGGTAAATTATTGCGTGGACCATGGTCCACACAATGTTATGTGGAACATAATAAAAAGTGCATTTTTAATATACTAAATGTAAATTATTTTTGTACTGAATGGACATTATAAAATATAATGTACACTCAGAACAAAAATAATGTACATCTTCTGAATATAATGTACATTATTTTTGTACTAAATGTACATTACTTTTTTACTGAATGTACATTATTTTACAGTAGACAAAATATGATCTATACAATTTGTGTAGATCATGATCCACACAATAATAATTGAAAAATTTATGACCCGCTTATTTAAAATTCGAACACAAAAAAAAAAAAAAGTTGTTAATGCATTTCTTGGGGGAAAACAATGTGAGATATTGGTAAAGATAAATCTGGACCAAAAAAAAACATTAAAAGTGTTTGGTAAATAACTGTTAGTTGATTGAGTTATTAGTTTATCAAGTCGATAACATTAGCTGATTGTAAAAAAGTGTTTGGTAAATTAGTTGTTAGCTAATATCTGATTACATGCAAAATGACTTCTCAAAAAACTTATCGAAAAAATTACTTTGAGCAACTTTTTGAATTTTAGCATTTTGGAACAATAAATTAGTGCAAAAAGCTAATTAATCAAATACTCATATTGATTGTTTAACAAAGTCAAAAAGCTAATAGCGATCAAATAAATCAAAATTGACTGATAGACTAATTATTTTACCAAACAGGGTCATTAACATCATTTAGTTTGCCAACTTGACATTAAATGAGCATGATTTAAATTCTGTAAATTTTTATGAAAATGTTAATGGAAATATAAATAACTAGAATGTTTAATTATTTAAGTTTAAAAATATTTTGGAGTTTAGACATTGTATTTTTATTTTAAAGTTATAAATATATCATTATGTGGAGATTATTATGTAACGGTAGTATTTATGTCTCTATTTATGTTTTCTTATGATTGTAAGTATATATATACTCACATGTATTATGTACTAAGGTTAGAGGTTAGCTAATGAAATCCTGATTACTCCCTATACTATCTTCTACATTCTTTCTCTATTTCTCCTTTTCAATCATCTATCTATCCTACAAAGTTATCGGTTAGGAGGTAACGGTCAATGGGCATAACGAGTTACAACACGTTCAACCTCAGTCAATGATAATTTTATGAGTTTTGTTTATGTCTTATTATTTTTGGATGCCTCTAATCACATTTTATATGATCTGTAAATTTATACATATAATGATATGATTATATGCATCGGTTGTACATCTATTCTGTAAATTTATATGTTTATGTTTTTGATATTATGCATTGGTAGTATATATATATACTACAACAATTTATTTAACCACACAAATTTTCATAATATAAAAATTTTCATATATGTAGTTATGTACATATATACATGAAATTTTCCAGAAGTTATTCTAATTTTTTTTTTTTCGAAATCAGTAAATAAAATATACCTACTGCTTGTTCGTTGGATTCAACTTCTTTTGGTTATTAAACGTCGACGGTGGCGTGAATGGCGTTGGATGGAGAGACGCTGGCGACCGGTGGGCTGCGACTGAGGCGAGATGGCGACGACGACGCGGCTGGCCTTTGCAGCTCACTACTGCTGCTTCCTTCTTCCTGGTTTCACCGGAGACTGTGATCTTGGGTTGGTGAAGCCGGGTGTTATGGCGGCGGCGCTGTTCGACGACGGCGGCTACAATCGGCCGGTTGACGACGATCTGTGCGTCGCGATCGGCGATGACGATGGCGTCCTACAACGACACCCAGGTTTTGATCAGTTTCACCGAAAACTGTTATTACTCTATTTCGCGAGATGCGAACCGTTTTTTCCTTTCGCCTGATGCGTTATTCCCCCTAACGATAAGAATATAGATTGTGTTGTATTGAATACGAAAGTATGAGAATACAGATATATAAAGACACGAAATAGAGTTCTAATCTAATACTAAAAATACAGTCCTAATACTCCATCCCAAGCACAAGGTTGCCTAGCCAAAACTTTGAGCTCGTGACGAAGTGAACTGAAACGAATAGACGAAAGAGGTTTAGTAAAAATATCCGATATGTGATCTTTGGTTGAAATAAAGTGAACTTGCAACTCCTTCTTGGCCACTTTATCATGAACAAAGTGATAGTCGATCTCAATGTGCTTCGTGGGAGCATGAAACACCGGATTAGCACATAAGTAAGTGGTTCCCAGATTGTCACATCAGAGTTTAGGCGCAGAAGTAGGAGGAATATCAATTTCCTTCATCAGAGAGACGAATCAAGTGACCTCAGGAGAAACATCAGCCATCCCCTTGTACTCGGCATCAATTGAGGAACGAGCCACAGTATGTTGTTTCCGGCACACCCAAGAGATAAGATTGTTCCCCAAACATACCGCAAAGCCACTGGTTGACTTCCGGTCATCCGGATCACCAGCCCAATCCGTATCAGAATATGCATGAATGTCAAGACAGGCAAACAATGATATATGAAGACCAAGATTGAGTGTCCCGTTAACATACCGTAACACCCTCTTTAGTGCCACCCAGTCAGAAGTAGTAGTGAATGCATGTGCTGACACAAACGATTTACTGCATAAGATAGATCAGGACGGGTTACCGTAAGATACTGCAGAGCACCTGCAAGACTGCGATACTGAGTGGGATCAGCATACGGCACTTCAGGACCACTCACGGCTTTGGTGGGTGAAATAGGCGTGGTCACGGGTTTGCAATCCAACATACCTGCTCGCTTGAGAATGTCTTTCAAGTACCGTTGCTGAGATAAGAGCATGCCTCCAGACAACGGAACAGTCTCAATACCCAGAAAAAAAAAAAGGAAGGCACACCCATGTCACGAACCTTAAACTCAAGTGCCAACCGTCAACGAATCCGAGAAGGCCCTATCCTTCTAGGAGTGGCAACATTTGCGTCCTCCAGAACAGATAATTCCGAGAGGTGAGCTTCAGGGAAACAAAGTGATGAGCCGACGAAAGATTATTGCCATTAGGCACCGGAGAGGTCTCGGTAACGGTCCGTTCAGAAGAACGAACAGATCCGTCATCATTAGCACCGAGATTCTCCATGAGAGAAAACCTGGAAACTGATACCAGATGAGAATATAGATTGTGTTGTATTGAATACCAAAGTTTGAAATACAGATATATAAAGATACTAAATAGAGTTCTAGTCTAATACTAATAATACAGTCCTAATACTAAAAATGTCATTGAGAAATTTCCAATTTTGACCCCACAATTATTGTACCATTTCCATATTTGGTCCTTGATTATTAAAATTTTTAAACTTGATCCAACAACTTTTAAATCCTTACCACAATTGGTTCTTCCGATCAAAATCTGGTCACTGGTCCGACAAGTGAATTATATATATATATATATATATATATATATATATATATATATATATATATATATATATATATATATATATATATATATATATATATATATATATATACATACATACATACATACATACATACATACATATATATATATATATATATATATATATATATATATATATATATATATATATATATATATATATATGTGGGAGGAATTTATGAAAATATTATAAGTTGTCGACAACAAAATTGCATTTAAGTTACTCATATTATATGACTATCTGGATCCAGGACTAGGTGCCAGAAGTGCCTAGATTGATTAACGTATAGAAGGAGCAATTAAGCCATATATATAGCCCAGCTCGCTAATAAATATATCACTTTTGTACACCATTGAAATGTTAACCCTGTAGGTTACAAATGATGTCTGTATGAAAGAGAAACAAGAATGATATGGTGGTGTGATATAAAGCGAGTCTGTAGCCCAAGGGTTCACTCAAAGACCTAGAAACATATATACTCACCCATAATGAATTTCATTAAAATTTTCTCTACATAATTGGTAGAATAATAAAATTTTAGATATGTAGCTTATTAAAGTCATGACCTTGAAATTATAAGTCGTTAGACACTAATGTGTATTTGTAAAATGTTTGATAGATTAATAATTCTCAAAATAAAAGAAAGTAAATATCACAACGTGTTTGTTGTTGAAGTACAAAGGCTTTGCTTAACTTGAAATAGTAAAGCAATTGACTAAGTAATTTCCTCCTAAAATATGAAATTGTAAAATAGATATGTACCATTAGGTACTTATTAAGGGGCCTTTTTGAAAAATAAAGAAGTTGGAAAACCAAACATTATCTCTACCTGTAGATTGAGTATTTTCTTAAAATGATTTTACACACTAATTAGTCTATTTTTAGAAAAATGTATTTGACACGTTATGGATAAGTACTACTGACTTATCACACTAACGGTTGTCTAATAATCTCTTGAAGTAGATAAAAGACTATCTAGATAATGAGGACATTTTGGGAACTAGAAGTCCATTACTTCATCACTAGTGGAGTAGTGGAGAACTAACATAGAATCAGAAATTCCATGATCGCATCAAGACTAACATTGTCTTTGCAAAGAAATTACTAACAACATATAGTGCTCTTCCTACAATTAAATATTAGAATAATATTCAAATATCATCCAGTATCTTCGATTTATAAAAATATTTTGAAATTCATGCAATAGAGCAATGTGTGATTTTCCTAGGCTACTTGGGTATTGACTCTTTGTTTTGACCCTCATGATGCCAAATCCCAACTGGTTATGTTTTGCTTTATCTCCACTATCCTATGTGAAGATAATAAATTAAAGCTTGTCTTATACAGATTATAAGTGGATATATTTGACAGATAGTTGACAAGTTATATAAATATTCAACCCACGTATGCTCTAGAAGACTAAGAAGAGTCACAAGATTATTTTAATAAAATGATAAATTCTAATGACAATCTTGAAGATTGTACTATATCCCATCTCTGCACTCTTTTGAAACAATGACTTTACTTTAAGGCATGTAGAACTTGAAGATTGTTATCTTCAGGGGGAGACAGGAAACACATTCACACGAATCAATCCTGTAGATTGGGTCTTAAAAGACTAACAGTTGTACTTTTACAACATATACATACCATGTACTCTTTTTCTCACTAGGTTTTTTCTATCACTAGGTTTTTTCCATTGGATTTTTTCTAGTGTGGTTTTTAACGAGACATGAGTATGATATAGTAATGTCAATATGGGGAAGTTTCATATACATACTTAAATAGACAAATCCCAAAATCCTGAAGATTATGCCTTGAAGGCTTATGATTGTACTCTTTTTTCTTTAACTAAGTTTTTCCCACAACGTTTTCTTAAGTTAAAGTTTTTAAATTAGGCAACCAATACAATATTTGATTTTACAAATATCATGTACTCTTTTATTCAATTAGGTTTTTCCCACGTGGTTTAGTTTTTAACGAGGCATGAATGTATTCAAATATACTATCCATATACCTTGTACTCTTTTCTTGTTCAGGTTTTTCCCACAGGATTTTCTTAACAAGTTTTTAACGAGTCAAGATCGTGAACAAATAATATCCAAGAAAAAGTGTTATAAATATATCATTATGCGGACATTATTATGTAACGATAGTATTTATGTCCCTATTTATGTTTTCGTTATGATGGTAAGTATATATACTCACATATATTATGTACTAAGGTTAGAGGTTGGCTAATGAAATCTTGATTACTCCCTATACTATTGTCTACCTTCTTTCTCTATTTCTCCTTTTCAATATCATCTATCCTTCAAAGTTCATAGGTTAGGAGCTAACGTCTAACGGGCAACATATATGATGCACTATTTTTTTTTATTAGTGTAATATTTTTAATCATGAAATAATTAATACGAATATATATATATATATATATATATATATATATATATATATATATATATATATATATATATATATATATATATATATATATATATATATATTATTTACACATATCCCCACATTTAGTTCCATATATTTATTGAACTTGTTATTTTCTAATTTCTTGTTTCCCTTTTCACCATTTCCCATTTTCTATTCCAATAATGCTACATAGAGTCAGAGTACGTGATGAGAAAAATGACTTGTGCAAGGAGTTTGGAAAAGAAAAAAAAAACACTAAACTAAAATATTATGAACAAGATGAAGAATGTGTTTAGTTCAAAAAAGGGAATCAAAATCGGAATGAGAATCAAGTAGTTTGTAATTAGAATGAGTTTTGGTGAATGTGTTTCGCATATTTGATAGTAGGGTGGAATTGAAATGATTACCAATATTAATGTTTGGTTATGTATCAGTCTATAATCGGAATAAATGTTATAAAAATAAAAATAATACGAAAAAAAAAGATTGCCTATTTATAGCAAGCCCAAGTGAATATTTGTTAAATATATGTGTGATTGATATCTTCTCTTATTATATTTAGTCCTATTCTAGCTCCTGTATAATAGTTATTAGGCTAGTTGTTGTAACTAATAGCTATCTTCTCTCATTTGTAAAGCTACTTATAGCTGCATGTGGTTTCATCAATAAATCACTTGTTCATAATCTTTACATGGTATCCAGAGCCTAAAATCTCCTACTAAAGAAACTTTTTTTTTTCTCTCTCTCCCTTGCTTCCTTCCTACTCAATGGCGTCCACCACCCAAACTACTCCTCCGGCCACCACTGAAGCCATCCAGCTTCACGCTACTACACATATCCCTATTAAACTCACACCTACGAATTTCCCAGTATGGCGCCGACAAGTCCACGCTACTTTTGTTGGACTTGATCTCCTGGGATATGTTGACGGTTCCATCATGGAACCAGCCAAGTTCACCGATTCCGCGAAAACCGTCGCTAACCCGAGCCATTTTGTTTGGTATCACCAAGACGAAACTATTGTCAGTGCACTTCTGGGCAGCTGTACTGACACAATCCAGCCGGTCATCTCCTCGGCCACAATAGCCCGCGATGCATGGCAACGTCTCATTGCCAGTTACGCTAGTGCCTCTCGAGGATGCACCATTTCCCTCAAGGCAAAGCTCACCACAAATCCCAGAGGTTCTCGGTCCATTACGGCGTACCTCACTGACATGCGGGCTATCGCTGATGACCTTGCTCTTGCTCAGTGTCTAGTCATTGATGAAGATTTGGTCGTGTATGTGTTGACGTAGCTTGGAGAGGAGTACAACTCCATTATCTCTGCAGTTTGCGTTCGTGAAACGCCCGTCTCGTGGGGTGGGCTGGCGGATATTCTAACTGACCATGAACGCCAGTTGAAGGTTGCTGATGATACACGCCAATCACTATTGGCAACAGCTAATGCCACTCAGCGGGCCTCGTCCTCCCGGAATAACCAGCAATCGAACTATGGTCGGAAATATCACAATAATACTGCTAATTCCGGCCCCAACCGTACGTCTTGGCAACAATGGGAGACTAATCGCTCTACGGTTATATGCAAATTTTGTAACTTTGCAGGTCATGAAACGAAGGTATGTCGCAAGCTGGCTAGGTTCCTAAGGGAACACAACATTGTCACTACCCAGACTTCTACATCGCACCCTGGTTGTTTGACAGTGGAGCATCGCATCACGCCACCCCCAATATCAAATCGCTGCAGACACTCTCCGAGTATAGTGGTCCTGATGAAGTGCGCCTGGGTGACGGTAATTCCCTACAAATATCTCATATTGGTCGGTCTGTAATTCCTACTTCGTCTTCTGGTCTTACCTTAGAAAATGTCTTGCTTGTTCCTCAGTTGCATACTAACTTAGTGTCTATATCCCAACTATGCAAGACTAATCGTGTGTCTGTTGAATTTTTTGATTCCCA